AGGAAGGAATTCCATTTACAGCATCAATGATTAACCAGACACTACTAAAGTTTTCATCGCTAAGGAGCACAGCAGTTCACAAAAGAGTTCATGCTCCTTGTAGACAGCTATACATTTTATGAAGTTCTTTCTCTGTGTTAAAATCCCATCGTGTTTCATCCTATTTCTGTCCTTTGAAGAAATACAGAACAATCTCTACCTCCTACGTCATTTTCCTTCGAGTACTGAAGGCAACTTCTATGCTCCTCCTTACCTTACCATATTGACATTAAATATTACCCATTCCTTCTATTATTATGAATGTGGCTGTCAGGTGTTAACAAAAAGTTGAATTATGATTTGACTGAAAACTTTCCCTGAGTAAAATATAAAGGAAAGATTTGAAAATTCATTTCTTTCTCATTTATTATCACCTATATTTAACACAATTGGAGGACCTGTCCAGAACTCAGCAGTCCACCCAGACTAATCTATACTAGCAAGCACCCTTTCTTCTGATTACTGATCTCACATATTCATACTAAAACACACACACACACGCACGCACACACACATGCATGCATACACACACATGCATACACACCAGTAATAGAAGTGGTTCTGTGATACAAGGTGACTCAGAAAACCTCAGGTCCCTGACCACAATGATGGACTGAAAAATAGTCACAATTTTCAAGCTGAAATTAACCTGAGTAGTTCTCCAAGATTATAAATTGGAAACTGGAGTAGTCCTGCTTTCCCCTTTCCCTGTGGAACATTTAGACATGAGAGTCATTAACCACCTCAAGTAAGGTGATTTGTTAGAATGAGATCAATATACACAGAAATGTGGGGAGAAAGATCCTATAGCTCTAGCCTCTGGTAAACCATCTCTACACTCTCCTATGCTGTGGTGGCATTATACAAGCCAATAACTCTCCTTAACACAGAATCCTATATCCATATCCACAGGACGTCTGCCATTCTCATAAGACCAATGGAACATGGACCACTTAAAAAGTCACCTTCTTATCCTACAGAAAGATGTGAAAGAATGTCTTCCAGAATCATCTACAAAAGAGAGTGATATTCACTTATCAAGATTAAGGTCTAGCTTCCCCAACATGTAGGTTTGCACAGAACTGACACTGCTCAAAACTCCATTTCCAGAACTATCAGAGCACCTGACTCATAGTAGATAGATGCTTAAGACACTCCCTATGATATATGGAGAGAGAATATATAACAGGCAAACACTGAAGATAATTAAGAAAATGAAGACATAAATTACCAAAGGAAATCTTAATCACATCATCTCATCTTTTTAGGGTTAGGATACTCATCAAAATTGTGGGAATTGGTTATCTCTTCAGTCTTTGTAGGGCCTATAAAATAGTATGATTCAATTCATAGTCAAAAATGGTAAAGATGAGTCTCTTAAAGAGGGGTCATGTAGACAAAGCTGGGAAAACAGTCAGTAAATGAAAAATGTAGGCCAGGAAGATGGCTCATTGGGTAAAGTGCTTACCACACAAACTTAAGGATCTGAGTTTAGATTCTGAGTACCCACATAATGCCAGATACCACAATCTGTTATCTCAGTGCTCCTTCAGTGAGATAGGAGGCATAGCTCCCTAGAAGCTGGAAGGTCAGCTGGCCTGCTGTTGTCACTTGGGAAGAAGAGACCCCGCCTCAAACAACATAGAAGGCAAGAACGAAAACTTGAGGTTGTCTTCTGACCTCCACGAGCACACCATGGCATGTGTGTCTGAGAGAGAGAGAGAGAGAGAGAGAGAGAGAGAGAGAGAGAGAATCTTTAAGTAAAATCTATAAGATAGTAAGAGAAGAAAATGTGCTGAGGAAATAATGAGAAGAAAGCAACATAAAGACAGACAGGAGGAAATCCTTGTACATGATAAAAGGATGCAGACATGCCATTTTCCTGTTGGCTTCCTACCTGTCCCAACCATTTTCTGTGATCAGAAATCACCTCTATGCCATCACAGGAACTTGTCCCTTCCTGGACCTCTGAAATCCACATGATGTTTCTCTCAATTTCTCCATGTTCTTGCAGAATTGACTTTCCCCTTCTGCCTTTGACCTAAATATTCCTCCATCTTCTCTCATACCTGCTTACTATATATACAGAGGTTAAACTTTAAGTACCAAATACCAGAGTACTATGATATGTTTACACACTATGCTAAGTGTTTTCCATACATTGGCTCATTTAGTTCTTACAACACACCTATAAAAGACATTCTAGCCGGGCGTGGTGGCACACACCTTTAATCCCAGCACTCGGGAGGCAGAGGCAGGCGGATCTCTGTGAGTTCAAGGCCAGCCTGGTCTACATAGTGAGTTCTAGGACAGCTGGGGCTACAGGGAGACCCTGTCTCAAAAAGACCCCCCCCCAAAAGAAGACATTCTAACCTCTTATTTTCATAATAAAGGGAAAGAATCTGTGACTGGGAAAGAGTAACTAGTCCTGGTTACTATATACAAGAGCCATTTCTTCTGACTCCAAGTCTTACCCACTATCTGATCCCCAAAGGCACTGATCCTTAAGAGAAATGGGGATGAGCTGCCACGAGGACACCAAAAGCAGAGAACCTATGGAAATAAAATCAACAGGATCTGTTTCTCAATTTTGCTTAGAGTCAGCCCTATTTGAAGTAGAACCTTGTTCCCATTATGTAGCAATAGATTATCTGCCATTTTGCATTGTGGAAATGTACCCTCCATTATCCAGGCTAATCTTGTTGACTGTAGAATGCTATACACAGACATTACAGTGACAGACAACTAATTCAATCTTCTCTGCTGCAAAGACGCTACTATTAACATCTCTTCAGCTTCTTCCCTATAGCTTCTACAGTGTCGAGGAAGACAAGTAATTGAGAATCACTGGGAAAAGGAGAGATGATGAGAAGAAACAGGAAGACTTATAAAATGTGAAACAAACAAAATACTACAATAAATTTAAAGAAAAAGAAATACATATAAGGTGATTGATTATCTAATAACATGTGATTCAGAGAAAAATGAATGTGTATGGTCCATTGTTAAATGGAGAAAATTATTTGCTTGTATGATAGAAATCATATGTTTACATAGTCAAGGCAGAATTTTCCTATGTCTTGGAATGTTGGGATAATGGGTGCCTCCTATAGAAATGATCTCACAACTGTGACCTATGTGGTGACTGTAACAGCAGGATCATTTCATCACTCTGTCAAAATTTAATTATTTCTTATTTCTTATCCTTCTCTGATTCCTGTAAATCTTCATCTATTCATTAAGACATTGTTTTCGTAAAAAATGCTAACCCTCACTGAAAGGTCATCAGGCATCTGATGTGATAAAAGTCTCCAGCTTTAATGAAATGGAAGCTAAGAAGCAGGTTTACAAACTCTTTGGGGTCAATCAGGAAGATGGAGTATCTAAGTAGTATGCCATGGAGTAGAAAGAGCAGAGACAATCCCACTGAAGTAATAGTGCTGGGTGTAGGAGTTGGGATATAATAATTACAAACTATTTAAGCTAAAATGCAATAGCATGATCTAAAATAATGTACTATTCAAATGTGAAATGCCCTTCAAATATACTAAAAGGGCAGCCTAATGTCCTCATTCCAAGTTCAAACACTTTCTTATTGTAACCAATTTCTATGAAACAAGGAAAGGAGCAGGGAGAAGAGAAAGTGTTTGAACAACTACCAGAGTTTTAAAAAAATACAATGAAATTTCACTGGTTCTTGGAGAAATGAAGTTGAATTAGATGGTTCAGTGGTGGCAAATTCCAGAATCCTGGGAGTTTCTAGTAAATGAAGCTTTTCTACAATGCCAAATGCAAAAACTATCTGATATCAACATTTTGAGCTGGGTGTTGAGATTTCTATTTACTTACAAGAAATTGTTTGAAACCTTTGAGATAAAAATTTCAATAAACTAGTATCCTGATCTTTTAGTATTTTAGTTCCTTGAGCAAGTATGTCAGATTAATCTCCAGATGCCAGTGGGCAGAAAGAGCATTCAGCCAAAATTTTAAATCCATGCTTTTCTCAAAGGAAGGTAATAAAGTAAACAGTTTCATCAGCTATTAAGATTTCAAACTTTCACAATCCTCATCTGTATCAAGGGGTTAGCATTCTATCTAGAAAGCAAGAGATCTTAGTCACTTGATCTTTGTATTCACTGAGCACACTGCCAGGCACACAGTGGGTATTCAACAAATACTTTTGAAAAAAAAAAAATGTTGGAATGGCCTCAAGGAGAGAGTGGAAATCTTGCTGAGAACAGCATGAGTCCAAATCCTAGCACTGCTCAGCAACAAAGACCATCTCTAGAATTAGGGTTATCTGTGCTTTGGGTTTCCACCATGGAATTTAAGTACAATATCCAACCTCTCTGGTCCAACCTAGGCTCTCTACCCCCATAGCTGTTCCCACGTGTCCACTCCAAGGTAGAGCAGGAATTTGCACGTGTATCTTCAAAGAGGCATCAAGAGGATTCTTTCCTGAGCTGGCAAGCAGCCACCCAAGAGCCACTTATGAGGGGATTAGAGTTATCGCCAGCTTACTCATGCCTAGAAAACTCTTGCTCTGTTTCTCCTTTTCTAGCTCCCCTGTGCTTTGGGTTTCCACCATGGAATTTAAGTACAATATCCAACCTCCCTGGTCCAACCTAGGCTCTCTACCCCCATAGCTGTTCCCACGTGTCCACTCCAAGAGACAGCACAGGGTGCTGGGTACCAAGCAGAATGCACACCAGGATGACTGACACATCTGAAGGTGACTGGGGGGGGGGTTGTAGGAAGCAGTGCGGATATGGGGGAGGAGCGAGTTCAAGACTCCAGCGGTTTCCAGAGGTTTCTCATCCCTCACCCAAAACCTCTGTCTGCCCCAACCGCTGGGAGCCGCTGTCAAAAAAACAAGGGGGCGCTTGATTGACTGCGCGGATCCGGACTTCGGGGAGAGGTACAGGGAATTGGCGGAAGTCAGATGGGACAGGGGACAGTACCTGGTGTGGCTGTGGTTGTGGGGACAATCCTTCTTCTCCATGATGGCCGGCACGCAGTTGGTGAGTTCGGTCCAGTCGGCGTGTAGTCCGCAGCTCCAGCCAGTAGAGAAGCGCGAGAAGAGCCAGGTCTCCTTCTTGCCTGGCCGGTGGCAGGTGCACTTCTTCTGGCCAGCTTTGCAGCTGCACGGCTGCTCCAGACGGATGTTCTTCACCAGGTGTCGGCCGAACGTGGTGCCGCCGGTCTTTTGAATGTGCAGGAATACGATCACGTCTAGCCCTTTGATGTTGAAATCCACGAAGCGGGTCAGGTCCTTCAAGGTGAAGTTGAAGCGCGGCACAAACCGGGGCAGGGAGCCGTTTTCGGGCGCCTCGGGGTCCGGCTCCTCTTCTTCTTCCTCCTCCTCTTCCTCGGGGTCCCCCCGGTCCTCATCCTCCTCCTCGGGAGCCGCGACCCCCCGAGGCCCCTCGGGCGGCCCCCGAGGTGGCGGAGGCAGCTGGGGCCGCCGCTCCCACTCTTCGGGGAGCGCCTGTGCCCGGCGGTCGGGACTCAGGGCGGCTGGCGGACGGGCGTCCCCGGCGCGGGGCTGCTCTCCGAAGTTGCTGCAGGAGCTGGTGCAGGAAGGGGACACGTACTGGTACATGATGACCACGAAGAGGAGAGTGAGCACGGGCGTCAGCAGCCACTTGTTGAACCTTTCATCCATGGTCCCGCTCTCAGGCCGGCAGGTGTAGCGGCGGCTGCAGCGGCTTGGTGGAGCACCTGCTCGGAAGTTTCGGGGACTCCGGGGCGCGGCTCGGAGTCCGCCGCTCCTCCATGCCCCTGACGCCGAGGCGCGCGGCTGGCTGGCTGCCCCGCGGCACTCCGGGGCTGGTGGAGCCGGGGCCTGAGAGCGGAGCCGGGAAGACGGGCGCCGGCTGCGGCGGCTGCGGCGAGGGGCACCCGGCAGTCCCCGGGGCTCCTGCTCCCAGCCCCCGCGCGGCGCAGCGCTGCGCTCTCAGGCGACCCG